AAAGGAAAAGGGGACAGCAGAGGATGAGATGGTTAGATAGCATCACTGAAGCAACGAACATGAAACTGAGCAAACTCCGGGAGGCAGTGAAGGACAAGAAGGCCTGGCGCGATATGGTTCATGGGGTCATGAAGAGTCGGACAGGATTTAACAACTGAACAACAACAAATCCAAGAAGCACTTGTTCCAGTATATGTATCTGGAGGGGAAAGAAAGCTCTCCTCAGCACCCTGTGTGTGGGAGCTGTGCACCATGTAAGAATGTGGGAGAGGGCTTTCTCTGTTCTGTCCCTTCCCCCCTTTCTTTGTCCAAGCTTTCAAATACCCTTCCCTGGTAGCCAGGCTTGCACCAATATTGCAAACCAGGCTTGCTTTTTGATATAAGTTGAATATCTGCCTTTTTACTCTTGCAGTAATGTCTTAACATGGCCTCTACTATTCCTTCTGAAAGTCTGTACCTTATGATCTTCTTTGTATTATTTATATATATTGCATGTTACTGTGTTAATTTATGTAATCCATGGATTGTAACCTTTCTTGAGATTCTTAAAGATACAGAAATAAAAAATAAAGTATCTCAACCTTTGCCAGCCTGGTGCTTTTAAGATGGCCTACACTATAACTCATATCATCCTCAAGTTGTAGATAACAGCTGTGTTAATTCATATCCTCTGGAAAGTACCAGTCTGCAGAAGGAGGCTCTGTCTGACTGTTGGATTTTGTATGTGGTTAAAAAGATACAGTATATGTATGTAGCAAGAATTTGGAGATTTAGGTAGATACGAGATCTGGGCTGCAAATACCAGGACAGCTGCTAGATAGCATCAAAGAGTAAACATTTGTGGGGGGAGGGAGGGGTAAAGAAAATGATATTGCTTTGGTGCCATTTAGTGGTTGTCTGACATTTTGCAGTCCAGACCTGGTAGCTCTGGTTTTAGGACCAGAAAGGCTTATTGGACCTGCATCCCGGCTGCTTCTTTACCAAACATTGTTTGCTTGTCCCTGTCTTTATAGAGAAGGACACTCTTTGAGAGCAGCATGATAAAGAGAAATGAACAAACAGTTTTCTGGCATGGAGTGGACCCATGTTGCTTCTGCCTGTTTATGCAGCTGCTGGAGATATAGAATGTCTACTATGTGGAAAACAAGGCAACTCTGCCTGTGTGATCTCTGCTGCCATTTTTAACTCAGTAGCATTGTAAATTTATTATGGAACTGTACAAATATACACTTTAGATACTGTTATCCCAAAAGAAACAGTGACAAACCACTTATAATTTTAACATTCTGTATGAAATTTGCAGTAATTATGTTGTTGGCTGCATGACCATCAACTCTAGATATTGTAAAACTGGGTGCTCTACTGTCATTAAGCTTAAACATGTGTAACTTAAATAATCACATTTCGCTTCCTCCTTAATCAAATGTGCCTCCCCTTCTTTAGTTACCCCAATGCTTTTAGACTGTGAC